TGCCAGGAGTTTATGGAACGAGGTCATTGTTACTGCGTCGCGTCACGACGCGTCATGCCGAGTAGATGGCCGGGGATAGATTAAGCGACGCCGGCGATAAGTCCTGCGAAATAAAACGGTGGCTACGTCCATTCGCGGGAGTCTGCGAATTGTTTCGAATGGGTTTCCGGCTGCGGGCTCTTCCCTGAAACGCGCGCGCGGCCCGCTGATAAGTGTCCTGATAAGTACGACATACGTACGGAGGGCAAGTTCTCGTTCGTTTCATTAAGATAATGGCCCAATCTCGCCGCGCGCAATTTCCTTTTCGCGATTTCGGTCCTTTCGTGGGAGGAGAAGGAGCCCTAATTGGCTTCACTTAAGGTAGAAGCCATAAATCGGTCGGATGCCGGCGGCTGCGCTACTCCTAATGCCGAAACGTGTCGAGGTGGAATCCCGCGTTTGCCGGAATAATCCGATAACTGAATGTATCCCTAAGTACTTAACTCTCGACCGCCATCGCGGGCACTCGGAGGCAGAGAGGGTCCATTGATTCCTTACCGCTGGCGCCTTTGACCGAAGATAGGGGATGATTGAGTGTAAATGCGGGACCTTCGAGATGCAGGGCAAATTAAGTAAAGAGCGTTTGCGAGAGTAATTATATGCATTTTAAAAATTAAAAGACTCAGCGCCACTTCCCAGCGCGATTTGTTGCGCAATGGAGAGGCCATTAAGTAATGATTGTAATAAAAAAGAGCTGACAGGAATCTAAAGCGAGCCGTAATATGGAAATGCGCCGATGACTTTAAGGAAATTAATTCAGGGAAACGTTAATTCAAACACATCTGCGCGATACGTTCGTTACTTATTCCTTTCTCGGCCGATTCTAAACTGCGTTTTAATACGGCGCAATCTCGAAAGAAATCACAAAACAACGAAAGTGTGCGCTAATCAATTTTCCCTTCCGGTTGTGCCCCGTCGTAACTGAATGTGTATAGAACTGTAGACGCGCAGTACGCGAAATCATTATTTCAATGCGGAAAGAATTAAACTGAAATAATCCCAAGTGGCGATAATCGATCTGCCCCGCCTGACCCTTTCGGGTGCAAGTGATTAAGCAGAAATGAAGGACACGGGGCTTTGCGTTCGCGTATCCGCGAGCGTCGCCTCGGGGCGGAAGATCATTGCTTTCTGCCACGCGCCCTTCGGAACGGGGGCTCGTTTCGCTCCTCGTTTTACCCCGCGGCACAAATCCCGTCCGCCTCCTATTGTTTCACGCGAAGAGTTCATCGATCCTCCGACAAAAGGGAACGTGAACGAGCGAGGTGAATGGAGGAGCGGGGTAGGTATTTTCGCCTTTCACCAACGGGAAAATGTTCCCGACCATTTCAAGTGCTCATTCCCCTCCCCCTGCTTTCCCTCTTCCTGTACATCTCTTTTTCTCCCCGTAATCTCTGGCTACTATACTTCCTGTCTTCATCCCCCTGTGCCGAGGTGGTCGCGCGCGAACGCGTCTTCGCCCGCTGCTCCCCTGTCGTTTGTTAACATTTCACGAAGCTCGCCCACGTAATGGACTCGGTAATCTTCGAATATTTCATTAGCCGAAAATAATGTAGAATAGAGCCAACCGGTGTACACTCCGGTGCGCCAGAGAACGCGGCGAGATAATTTATCTCGAACGTGAGGGAACGAGGACGAAAAGGATCAATCTGATAAATATAAGATCCCGCGTATACTTACACGCTTATTTCCTATCGGCGCCGGGCTCCGGTAAATTTGCAGCTGCACTTTTTACACGGCTGAAACTTGTGTACTATAGGACCTAGTCGGATTGCAGTAACACGTGTAACCTTCCGTTCCTTCGAGGGAACGAGAACTTCTACGTCACACATATATGTAAGAAAGTCGTTCGTAAACTTGAGTCTCGATGGCGATAAGGCTCGCCATGCACATTTTATTCCCAACGCCAGACGAAAGGGCATTCCGGTCTCAAAGGATTAAGTCTATTCAGTCCTGCCTCGCGACCTAGCCCAGTCCTTGAAACGTGTCAAGCTGTATTTAGTTTGCTTCGCGTCTTCATGGTTTACAGGATGAGTTTTCTGCCACTGCACGGACTGGCTTTTACTTTATGACGAGCGAGCCATGTAATTTTGTTCGGTCGCCCTCGAGCGTCACATATAATATATATGTACATATATATATATATATATATATATACCGTTCTTTCAGCTCTCTTCATACGAAGATGAGTCGATATTTTATACGCGTCGCGTGTTGCACTCATAAACTGTAAAATCCATTTAATTTTACGCGCACTCGTAAAAACGTTCTTTGAGCGGCACGCCGCTGCTCGGCGGAATAATGCCCTTCGTATTATTCACGTATTATCGTGCGCGAGCGACGGCGACGGACGTATAATGCAAAAGATTAACGTCTCTTGAGACAAAATGAGATTTAACCGACCGCGCGGTAAACGTGCGCGACTCGGATTCCTCCCGTCTCCCTATCCATATCTTTTTCATTATCGGGGGCGCGAGATGCGATCTCTCGTATTCATAAAAACGCCATTGGACTGACATTATTAAATTAAATTTTATCTCCCGGAATATAATATTAATCTGCACAGGTAACACGCCCGAGAGCGCGCTGTGTTTTGCATTCCGTCGATATTGTTCGATAAGAGTAAAAAGAAGTCACATTGCGCCGGTCGAACGTAAGACTCGTCGAATAGCGTCGATTTCAAGTCTACCCTCTTCCTCAAATTTTCGAGTACGAAATAACGGATTTAATATAGTGAATTAAAATTAAACGACGAGACGTAGCGAAGATCGGAGCTGAGGATAGTCTCGCGCGGGTTTCTTCCCCTTTTCTTATGAATCTCTACGAGTGCAACGTTTCACTTTGAACGATCGCTCAAAGAGGGACGAAAATAAAAGATAGCTCCGCATCTCCTCGCTGTTCAGCGGATGAACATTTCACGCATTCATCTGCGCCACTCATCTTTCCTCCACACAGAACGACTCCTTCAAGATGGCCATCGAGACGGAACCGTGAAGATCCCGTAAGCTCCCGTACGCAGGGCTGGAGTCTGTGGAGATCAAAGGGTTATTATGCACCCCGCGGGGTGAAAATCCTCGAGAGCGAGCGGCGATAAAGCGCGACGCCGTTCGCGCATCAATTAACTTTATTAACGCGATTATCGGCAATTCGCTCGAATCGTCAAGCGCCGAGAACGTCTTTCCCTCCCCCCACCCCTCCCTCACCACCCGTGGGAGACGCGTAGTCCTTTTCCAGTACATTAACTTCCGGAAAGGAGATCCGGACCGATTCGATTTCTTCTTGCTTGCCGATCATTAGACTGCTTAACTCCACCTACTTAAAGTCATCCCGCCGTCTCGTTAAACCGCTTATACCCGTCGCTACGGGCGATGTTCTCGCGTCTGCCTGTACCGAGCAAAGGAAATTCATTACGCCCTCGCCACTCGCGACGCGACGAAGGGCCGAAGGGGAAAGCGCTGAACCGGCGAATGTAGGATTATTACGTCGGCGACGAAAAAATTGCGCTTACTGAATTAATAAAAACAGCGGCGCACCTTTTCCTCCCACGACGCGACAAGTCACCGTTTTCCACGTGATAACCAAACTCGCTGGGGGGTCAATTTAAGGTAGTTAGGTAAAAAGAAATGATAAAGTTACAGATTTTCTTTCAACTTACAGATATTAATACGTACGTGTGTAAAATTTGGGTTTGTTTTACCGTATAGTTTCCGAGATATAATCACTTCAAATTAACTGTTTTTACCTTTCGCTTATCGCCATTGGCCGCTGAGGCAGAAAACCTGACACTTGGACACGTATTTGTCAGTAGCAAAAAATCTACAACAAGGATTGAAACAAAAAATCAGGCAAAAGTAGTTGAATGTTTCAAGAAGTGCATGTTTAAATTTCATATAATATCATACGCTGACCGTACGGTATCAGAGTATGGTAAATCCAAAGAAAAATTTGCCTAGGTAAACTTTTTCGTGCACGGTAACGCCTTGCGGATGTGGCAACGTAGGTTATGCCATTCTCTTTGTTTTCCGGTTAAGTGTTCCTTGCATTTTCGCTTCTGCCCTAACACTTTCTTTTTTTTATAAAACGCCCTCTATATCGTAACCACGATTTTTCCATTATGATAATTAAAATATCTTTTCACAATTCACGATCAAATGCAATGTTGCTACGATCAACGCTCCGTTTCTGTAACTCTTCTTTATTTTATCGGTTTTTAACATTCTAAGAGAAGCAATAGTGTGTAAAAATCTGTTCTTGAATTTAATGTAAAAGAATTCGTCGTCTATTGAACTTTCTTGATCAATCAAGTCTCATATCGACTAGAACAGCTGGGAAAGAATTTAACTACCTTAACAGATTACATTTCACGGGCAATAATTAGCAATTGTGAAAAAAAAATTATTAATTAACTGTCGCAAAACGTCCGTACGCGAGAGATACATACGGGAGTCGTGTATTGCACAAGATACACGCTCGGGTTTAAACCCTTGCCCTTTTTTCGCCGATAAATGACCCCATTATTTTTTCGATACGAGGGAGGGAGCTCGAATGTTATCCTCTCTCTTAATATCATCAACCCGTAAATCTGCCTCTCGCGTACAGCTCGGTGGAAATATTATTTCGCTCCGTTTGTTTATCGATCAGCGGAGAATAAATCAATGCCTGCTGTTTCAGCGCGGAAAAGATTATTTGAGATCTCGCGAATCACGGTAGTGGGAATTTCGAGAGATGACTCGCCGCTTTTCATACTTTATTAGCCATTAAACGATTAATTTCGCTGGTACCTTCTCTTATTACCGTAAATAAAATAATGCGCAACTTGGAATTCCGTCGCACTAAGCCACTGTTGTATCCCGACCAGATTTTCCGTGTCGCTCCGATACACCCAGCCTCAAACAAACATTAGGGGGGAAATGTTAATGGCGTTCCCATTTCTCGTGGACGCTCGAATAACGTGGACAAACGGCGTGGGTCTCAATGTCTTTATTGATACGTTTTACAGTATTCGTGGATATAATTTCGCGACGAGCCCTCTGTGACGAGGCCCTTTTCGAATTAACAACCTTGAATGGACGAGCGTCGGGAAATGAGCGTCCGCGTTTTACATTCAGAGATATTATAACATCGCACTCATGTATCGGCACGGGTTTGTGTAACGTAATCCGCAAGCTCGAATCGGAACTGCGAAATCTATCGGTTGGAGGCGAGTCAACGGATTTATAATGACCGGATGCGAGCGGGATCCCTTTCCTGGTGCGCCTGCAACGGGCTGCACCTCGTCGCGTTATCGGGGATTATCGGTTACTGATCAATAGCGCTTTCTGATCAATTACTCCTGAATAACCGCTGTTTGTTCATCTCGTTTCTCGATAAAGAAAAATAGAGGGAATATAAAAGTTGAATGCTTACGCGCCCGGCGGAAGTTAAAAGGATCGAGGGACATGCGCTTGAGTGTATTTGCTAGATGACATCAAACATCGAAACATTCTATAGGACCGTAAAGTATTCGTCGTTTTCGAACAGTGGCGAGCAAGGACGTGCCAATCAGCTTGGTGCCAATCACCGTCGTCGGTGAATTTACCGTCTGCAACAGTAAACAACATTTAAATGTAAAACACAAACGTGCCCCTGCAAATTAAACTAGATTTTTTTTTACACTTTACTAACTAGTCTTTTTAACGTTCATCCTTCGCCTTTTATTTTCCCTATTTCCCCGGCGTGAAACGCGAATCCGGCGCTTTCTCTCGAAAGCTGTTTAATGTCTTGTCACGCGTAAAAACGGGAATCATAAAAAATGCAATCGCACAAGAGCCTCTTAAATATTCATTTCCCTTTAAACCGCAGGATCTAACGGAGGCTGAACTTTTATCGCTATCCATGCCGGCTCGGAAACGTTTAAATAATTGCCAGGGTTTTTATCTTCGATTTTAACATTTCGAAAAGGCCTCCTTGAGATTTCTCGGGCTCTCCCGCGGCCACGGTTCGGTTCACCGTTCTCTGATCTCTCTATAATTCCCGCGGGAGGTGGGCGGCATCGAAAGTAGGCCACTTCGTGAAATAAGCGGAAGACGTTTCTCGTCGAAAAAGCAGAGGAAGGTAGGCGTAGGTACTTCGATCCTTCCCTCGTCTCTACCTTGCGCTCGCTTACCAGCTATTTCTCTTCTTCTCTTCGCCTTATCCTTCCTCTGATTTCTGGCTTCTTCCCAACGTCGTTGATCGACCTTCTCATCATCGATCTGTACGGCCCCATTGTCAAATTTGCATATCCCCGCCCTCATCTGCGCTCGTTAGATCGCTATATGTTAAGCATCGCTTTTTCAATATTCGAATGTTGCAGTGCGTCTCTTGCAAATGGTATTTCCTTTAGCCCAGGTTTTGCACATTTACGCCCTACATTAAAGCCACGCGTTGTTTTTATCACCTGTATACACGCGCTTCAATTTTGTCAGCAATTCTTTCAGCTTTCGAACAGTCGCAGATACGAGGAGGAAAGTAAACAATTAAAAAACACGGTACGTTTTTTTTATGTATTTAAATTAGGGCCCGGCGTTATCACAGGCGATAACGTGGCGCACATAAATTGAAAACGCAGGAAGAATAACGTCATATGGAAAAGTTAAAAATGTATAACATTTAAAATTGGAAATATGTTAGTAAGATAAAGCTTATCCAGTTTTAATTGAGTTCAGCTTTCAAAATCCCTGCGTTACGCCGCGGGACGAGATTATAAAAACAACTGGAAACCACGGGAAATTTATTTCTTCGATATTAATCTGGAATATCGCGTTCGTGCTATATTAAAATACTTTACGCGTATCAACCGAACGTAAATTATCCTCCCTGTTTCCGCTACTTCCCGTAGAACTTCTTTTCTTTTTTTTACCGCGTCTTACTTGTCAGAGCTCCAATTCATTTCTGCTTCGCTATGCTTGTTCGATAAAGACGGCGAAGCGTTTCTTTTGGCAGTCACCCTGCGCACCATTTCGGGAAGATGTCAACTTTATGATATACATTTTCAGACCCTTGCCAAACAATTCTCATTTGTCACGACGGCGGAGGCTGCAACTTTCTCGGGATATCTTTGAAAACTGCAGCACTCGGCGCTCTTCCCGCCTTAAATTAAAACAACGCGAAAATCGATACTCGCCCGGGAGCTTCTCGAAAGCTAATTGTGCAAAACGGCGCGCGAAGGCGACGGATACAACGTCGCGATTCTCGAGGCGGGGCAAGAGAAAAATTGTCGCTCCGTGTATCACTAAAACCGAATTTCCGTTGTTCATTTCTAATTGTAAATCATTCATTCGTTTAATGCGACCGGATTTTACGTTATACAAGAGAGGACGCCATTTTCCCACCGCACGCCAGAAAAGTATAATTATAGCCGCGAATGTGAATAATAACGCGAGAAACATGTTAAAAATATCCCGGATGGAATATCAAATTTTCAAAGGTACAAAGAGCAAAATTATCATTTTACAGACGCGGAAGATAAAAGTCGTCGTTAAAACGTCTCCTTCATTTATTGGCGGCGTTATTTTTAGCGAAACTTACAAGTTCGCGACGAAGGTCGAGCGGAGTGGAATCCACGAGTGAAAATTAGTCTCGCTCAAGTCGCTCGAGACGCTTTTCCCGAAGTCTATTAATAAACCGGGGAAAGGACAATAAGCGGCTCTCGTAGTCACGCCGGCATGCAACGTGACGGATTCTAATCTCGGCGCGGAATAGTTTAGGTGACTCCGTATTGACAGTAAATCGCCGGTATTGACGCGCAAATAGAGCCATTAATATCGCCCAGAGCTTAGTACGAGATCGAATCGGTACGGGGAGATATCGGATTACCATCTCGTCGCTCACGGAATACATCTACTTGATTAAGATTTGTTTGCACTAGTCAACGAACGGCCATTTTTACGAGCGTCCGAGCGCCGTCGTTCCCGAGGCGCCGTCGATTACCGACTCGCTTATCCTTTTCTAAAACGTCTCGTCCGTAAAATACGGCGTTTTCGTCTGACTGCACGGCCAGGGGATTAAATCTTACAATATAGTGAAAATGCTAAAAGTCGGCGGCTTGTCTCTTTCTAAGGGGACGGTTAGAAAGAGACAGAAGCCACTCGCTTTTAGCATTTTCACTATACGGGGAGAATTTTCTCTTAAAATTTATTCTGGAAATCACGTAATCGTGCGACAACGCGGCACTTTGAAAAACTTTATGAGAGTCTTTTGATTAGTAATGTATGGTTAAATTTCACAAAACTCTCATAAAGTTCCTCAAAATGCCATGTTGTTCAACGATTACACGATTTTCGGGTTAAAATTTGAGAGAAAAATTCTCTCCGTGTAGTGTAACAGATACAGAATCGACCCAGTGGTTGGAACCCGCTTGTGCAACACGACAGCACATTGTGTCATTCCTACGTCATTTCACAGTCTACAATTCTTGCCGTACCTTTGAAATCACTGACCGTTTAAGAGAACGCTGGAGTGTTTCTGCACTTTTGGTACCTTTTGCTCCTAGAACTGTCAATTCATTTGCGTAATATACAAATTATGTGACTTTTGTGTACAGACCGACAGTGTTCCACTATTCGTACTAAATCAGAGAACAGCATAGTATCATTGAAATTAAGTTTAGGAGCTTAACAAGAAGTCTATTCACTCGAATTAGTTATAGGTTACCTGACCTGTAACTTATTCGAGTGAATAGATTTTTTTGTTAGGCTTCTAAACTTAATTTCAATGATACCATGCTGTTCCTTCACTTAATCTGAATAGTGGGACACTGTCGGTCTGAACACAAAAGCCACGTAATTTGTATATTACACAAATGTTTTCACGAATTGGCAGTTCTAGGCGCAAAAGGTGCCAAAAGTGCAGAATCACTCCCAGCATCCCCTTAACGATATCGATCATCTCTGATAATTATCGCAAAATAATCAAAATATAAATTTTTACCAACTTTGTCCGCTAGCTAATTATCGAACTAATTATTTGATCGGCGTGCGTTAAAGGTGTATTACGGGCGCCCTTATTTACGCGAAGAGGCTGATGTAAACCATTTCGGTTTAAACCTACCTTGGCCCATCTGTTTAACAGACCGCGAAGCGAAGCCTGATAATTTCGACCGGTATTGATAATTCCGACCAGTTCAACGAAACACGCTTAATCTCAAATTTAGGCCATTGTGGTGTAAATATTGTACGGAGGGTTAACTCTAATTAATGCCCGCGTTCGGATCCTGAAGGGCTCGTCACCATTACGGTAATAAATGCAAACGCGTCGCGACATCGTCGGTAACTTTTTCCGTTCGTCCGTCGGGGCGGAAGGAAGGGATCAAAGAGCAAACCGCCACAGTGCGAAACAACACGCGGCACCGATAACAAAGAATGGTTAATTGAATTTCCGTCCAGCCGTCAATCTCCGGCAAAGGCATCGATCTGATTAAGGTTTGTTTGCCACCCGCGACGTGTCGCAATGCGGTTTTCCGAGGGGGAAGAAAAAAAAACGCACCTTCGACGCGCCCCGTGTAAACGATGCGAGGCGACAACAAGTCAGAAAGCAAATAGACGGAATTCCGTTGACGCGATATGACGTATCCGCCAATTCCTTTTTCTGCGTCACTGAAACAGAGATCTTACGTGCGTCGTAAAGAATCCCCGTCTGTAAATCGTAGAAAAGAAAAATCTGGAAGACTCGCGGAATAGAAAAAACCTTAGCTGGTCAGTTTCGATAATAGTACAACCAGTTAGGTCCACTCCCAGCAAACACAAAGTAACAGTTACATAACTGCAAGTTAAAATTTCCTACTCAACAATATAACTGTTACATAACACACGTGTTATATAACAGTTATATTGTTGAGTAGGAAATTTTAACTTACAGTTATACAGGGTGTCGGATTCGATTTGGACCACTCCAAAGTTTATAGTAGATTGGGTCAAACTGAGAAGAAAAGTTATATATCATTTTACAAAATCCGTAATTATTATCGCGTAATTAAGAAAAACGTCTGAGCCAATAAGTGCACGGAGGAACTGAAGGCCGGACTCGGCAG